TGATAATAAAAAATAAAATTAAAAAAAAAACCCTCATGCTGGATGCATTGGATTATGGCCAAGATCCAGAGAGGAGAATGAAGGAGAAGGAATTGCAGCGTGGCCATCCTCCCTTGGTGGTGGTGGTGGGGGGGGATGATTTCTCGCTTTCTGTCTCCCGGTCTGTCTGGCAAGCGCACACGCCCTATAGCAAAAACCTCTCTCTCAAAAAAAAAAGAAAAAATTGGGATTGGCTGCGGGTATAGACCCAATCATTCTCAACAAATACTCTGTGATTAATTAGCTTAATTATGGTAATAGTTTCCATACATATTATATCAAAACAACATGTTGCAACACATAAATATGTATAATTTTGTCAAACATATACCAATAAAGCTAGAAAAAATAAGTAAACTAATTATGTAAGTGGCTAGGGAACCAGTGAAAAGATGTATTAACAGGATGCTTCTAAGAATCTGGCTATTTGGTGGAGACTCTAGTTTTGAATTTAAAAACTTTTCTTAAGTATTTATTATGTGGGCCAGCCCATAATAAATATGTGTGATGTGGTGGTTAAGGAGGTCAGATTCCACAATAAACAAATGGAACTACATCAGGCTACAAAGTTTGTGCACAGCAAAAGAAATAATTAATAAAAAGAAAAGAATTGGTAGGAAATGTTTGCACACCATATATCTGATAAGTGGTTAATATCCAAAATGCTTAAGAAATTCATACAACTCAATATGAAAAGAAACAAGAAAAAGTTACAAACAATTTGAATAAAAAATGGGCAAAGGACCTGAATAGACATTTATCCAAAGGAGATACACAAGATGTATATGAAAATATGGTCAACATCATTATCCTGGGGGAAACACAAATCCAAGCTACTTCTTCACATCTGTTAGACGGCTATTATCAAAAAGTTCAGAGGTATGTGTTAGTGAGGATGTGCAGAAAAGAAGCCCTTGAGCACTGTTAGAGGGGACAGCAAATTGGTGCAGCCACTGTAGATAAGAGAATGCAGGCTCCTCAAAAATTACATATCAAAATGGAATTACCATTCTGCCACCCACAGTGGAAGAAGGAAATTGGCACCGAGCTAGTTCACCTCATGAGGAAGCACATGCTCTCACAGATTTCTGTAGAAACCTACTCCAAAGAAGTAGCAAGAAATGAGTTTATCACCAGATACCTACAAATCACAGGAAAGCCTCAATAAATATGAGAAAACCAGAAAATACTTCCCCAAACATAGTAACTACTCACCAACAATGGATAAAACACATGAAATTGAGACCAGTAGATGGCATAATGGTTATGTCACTGGACTTCCATGTAGTCAACCAGTTTGAGTCCCAGACCCTGTGACTTAAAACTCTCTCTAGATGCGTGTGTATGCATGCCCAAAATCCTGAAAGGAGAATGGAGTAGAAGGGATTATGGAGTGGCCATCCCCACTGGGGAGTGATTTCTCACTTTCTGTCTCTCTCTTTCTCTCTCTGGTGAGCACATGTGCCCTATAGCAAAAATATCTCTAAAAAATAAATAACACACAAGAAATCATAGAAGTGTCAGAAGAATAATTTAGAATATTTATCATAACTAAATTCAATGAGTTGCAAGAGAAAATAGACAACTAATGTCAAGAGATGAGAAAAATCTTTCCACGACTTAAAGGAGAAACTCCATAAAGAGGTAAATACCCTGAAGAAGAATCAAACAGAACTTCTGGAGATAGAGAATATGACTCAGGAAATAAAAACTTTTTCAAAAGTATTAACAGGAGATTAGCCATGAAGAAGAACGAGTCTCTGATTTTGAAACAAAACTTCTTACTTAGTCCAAGCGACTGAGAAGAATATAAAAATACCACTAAAAATGAAGATACCATTAAATGACTAAATATTTGCATAATGGATATTCCAGCAGGTCAAGAGACAAGTAAAGGCTTAGACAATCTTTTTCATGATATATTTGCTGAAAAATGTCCAATTTAGAGAGGCATACAGAAATCAAAATCCAGGAAATACAATGAACACCAAATAGATTTAATATAAGAACATCCTCTTCAAGGCACATCAAGGAAAAACTGGTGAAAATCAAAAACTAAAACAGTATTTTAAAAATGACGAGCGAAATGCTGAGTTACTTACAAAGTTTACCACACTAGACTAACACTGAACCTCTCAACTGAAACAATGCATGTAAGGAAAGAATGGGAAGATATTTTAAACTCTGAGAGAAAAACAACTTCGGCAAAGAATATTATACTTGGCAAGATTATCCTTCAAATGGGAAGGAGAAATAAAATCATTCCCAGGTAAACAAAAGCTGAAAGAATTCATTAAAAGTAGGCCATCTCTTCAAGAAATATTTAAGGGAATACTACAATTGGAAAACTAAAAAGAGATAATTAAAAGCAAAACACACAAAACACCTAGGAAAAAAAAGGAGTTAAATGACAGAGCTAAATTCACATATATCAATAGTAACAGAAGGCTAATGGATTAAATTTTCCAACTAAAAGACACAGATTGGCTCAATGGATAAAAAGACAGGAACCTTCTATATGTTGCTTGCAAGAAACACAACTCATTGACAAAAATAGACATAGATGAAAGTGAAAGACTCGAAAAAAATATTTTATGCAATCATAAATGAAAAAGAATCAGGAGTCATGATACTGACATCAGACAAAAATAAACTTTATGATAAAATGGGTAAATAGAGTTAAAGAAAAGCACTACATAAGTCTAAAAGGATTAATTCACCAAGAAGATATTACATAACAAACAAATATTTATGCATCCAATGTTGGGGCACCACAATACCTAAAAGAAGGACTGCTAGATCTAATGGGAGATATAGATTGGAATACATTAATTGTTGGGGGTTTCAACACCCTACTGAAATGAGTGCATAAATGACAAATGATCTAGATTTGGACATTTCATCTAAACAAAAAATAAACAAAGAGACACGAGAGCTAATCGACACTGAAAACAAATGGACCTGACAGATATATATACAGCATTCCAACCAACACATTTTTCTCATCTCCACATGGAACATTTTCAAAAATTGACCACATAATGGGCCACAAACAAGCCTCTACAAATGTGTAAAAGCATAGAAATAATACTCAGCATTTTATCTATTTACAATGGAATTAAACTTGAATACTCTGAGTGACATATGCCAACAAACTAGAAAATCTAGATGATACAGATAAATTTCTGGATGTGTACAAATTTCCTAGGCCAAATCAGTATAACATAGAAGCCTGAGTAGACCAATAACAAGGGATGAGATTGGATCAGTAATAAATAGTCTCCCACCAATGAAAAACACAGGTCCAGATGGCTTCACTTCTGAATTCTATAACAATTTTAAAGAAGAGCTAACCCAATTCTCCTAAAACTATTTCTAAAGATTCAAAAGGAAGGAACCCTCCCAAACTCATTCTATGAAGTATATATCACCTTGAAATCAAAAACAGACAGTGACATAACAAAAAATAAAACTACAGACCAACATCTCAGATGAATACTGATGCAAACATTTTCAACAAAATACTGGTAAATGGAATCCAATAGAGCATTAAGATTATACTCCATGACAAATAGGTTTATCCTAGCTATGCAAGGATGGTTCAAAAATAATTTAATAAAAAAGTAATACATCCCATTAGCAGAAAGAAAAAACAGATAATCATATTCCTAGATGGAGAAAAAACATTTGATAAAATACATCATCCTTCATGATTTAGACTCTCAGCAAAATAGTGAAGAGTAGAGTCTGAGGAAGGACACTGAGGAGAAAAGCAGAGAGGCGAGGAATTTATAGGACAAATAAATGGATTATTATCTGTTGAAGATAATGTGTATAGTATTGTCAACTGGACGGGTGAGAAATGTATACATATTTGAATATTCACTTTGCAAGCTAAGTAACATGTGATTGAATATATAAAAGAAAGAAATATATATGAGAAGGGACATTCTTCAACACAATAAGTGGCATATATAACATACCCATTGCTAACATTATACTGAAGAAGGAAAAGTTGAAAGCTCACCCTAAAAACTGCAACAAGACAAGACTGCCTGCTTTTTCCACTCCTTTCAACATAGTTATTGAAGTCCTAGCCAATGCAATCAGACAAGAGAGTAAAATAAAAGGCATCCCAATTAGAAAGGAAGCTAAACTGTCCTTATTTGCATATGATATGATTACATACACAAATTGTTCAAATAAATCCACATAAAAACTCTTGAGAGTCATAAATGAATTCAGTAAAGTGGCAGAATATAAAATCAATATACAAAAATCTATAGCACTTTTATACATCAAGAATGAACAGACTGAGACAGAATTGAAGAATTCAATACCATTTACAATAGCCATTGAAATGAATAAGATAATAGGAATAAAACTAATGACAAAAAAAAATAAAAGACCTCTACTTTCATAGGAAAACTATGAGAAACTGAAAATAAATTAACACAAAAAAGTGGAGAGACATTCCATGTTCTTAGAGTGGAAGAATCACTATAATCGTCAGTTCTACTCAAGTTAATTTACATATTCAATGTGATTCCAATCCAATCGCTGGTAGCATTCTTCACAGAATATTTTAAAAATTATAAAATTTACCTGAAAAAGAGAAGAGAAAATTTGCCTGGAATCATAAACGATTCTGTATCACAAAGGCAATATTGTGCAAAAAGAATAAAATAGAAAGCATCTCACTACCTGACTTCAAAATATATTACAGAGCAGTAATAATCAAAACAGCATGGCACTAGCACAGAAATAGACATACAGATAAATGGAACAAAATAGATAATCCAGAAATAAATCCCACATTATAAAACCAACTGACCTTTGACATAAGATACAGTAAAGAAAAGAAAGTTTTCTCAGCAAATGTTGCTGGAAGAACTGGATATACAACTGTAGAAAAATTAATCTAGACCTCATCTCTCACCATTAACAAGAATCAACTGAAAACGGATCAAATATTTAAATGTAAAGCCTCAAGCTATAAAATCACTAGTACAAAATATAGGGAAAACTCTTCAAGATACTAGAGTAGGCAAAGATTTCTTAAATATGTGGCTCAGACAATAATCCCCAATATAGACAAATGGGATTGCGTCAAGCTAAAAAGCTAACTCATAGCAAAGGAAACAACAATTAGAGTAAAAAGACACCTCTCAAAATAGGAGAACATTTTTTTTGGACCAACAATTAGCATAATGGCTATGTCACTGGACTCCCACGTAGTCGACTGCGGTTCGTGTCCCAGACCCGGTGGCTTAAAACTCACACCGGGCGTGTGTGCATGCGTGCCCAAGATCCCGAGAGGAGAATAGAGGAGAAGGGATTGTGGCATGACCATCCCCCCTGGGGGATGACTTCTCGCTTTCTGTCTCTATGTCTCTCTCTGTCTGTCTGGCGAGCGCACGTGCCCTACAGTGAAAATCTCTCCAAAAAAAAATAAATAAATAAAAAATAGGGAAAACTCTTCAAGATACTAGAGTAGGCAAAGATTTCTTAAATATGTGGCTCAGACAATAATCCCCAATATAGACAAATGGGATTGCGTCAAGCTAAAAAGCTAACTCATAGCAAAGGAAACAACAATTAGAGTAAAAAGACACCTCTCAAAATAGGAGAACATTTTTTTTGGACCAACAGTTAGCATAATGGCTATGTCACTGGACTCCCATGTAATCGACCACGGTTCAAGTTCCGGACCCGGTGGCTTAAACTCACGCCAGGTGAGTGTGCGTGTATGCCCAAGACCCCGAGAGGAGAATGGAGGAGAAGGGATTGCTGTATGGTCATCCTCCCTGTGGGGTGATTTCTTGCTTTCTGTCTCTCTGTCTCTCTCTGTCTGGTGAGCGCATGCACCCTATAGCAAAAACCTCTCCAAAAAAAGAACAAAAATAGGACAAATATTTTTTAAATTATTCCTCAGAGAAGAGATTGGTAACCCGAAAATATAGGAAACTCAAGCAGCTCACCCATAAAAAATTGAATAATCCAATTTAAAAATGTGCAAATGAATTCAGTAGACAATTCTTTAAGGAAGACTTATGAATAACCAAAAACTATATGAAAAAATATTCAAAGTTTCTTGTCATAAGGGAAATACAAATTGAAATTATGATGAGATAGTATTTAACTCCAGTTAGAATGGCTAGGATAAAAATAAATAAATAAAAATAAGAAAGACAAGTGCTGGCAAGGCTATGGAGAAAGGGAGCTGTTGGTGGAAATGTAAATTTCTACAACCGCTGTGGAAAACAACATGTAGATTCCTCAAAAAACCTACACATAGAACCAATATATGACCAAGTAACTCCACTCTTTAGTATTTACCCAAAGGGCAGGAAAACATTCAGTTGAAAAGATACTTGAACAACAATGTCACTGCATTATTCACAATGGCTAAGACATAGAATCAATCTAAGTGTCTAAAACCTGATGACTGGGTTGAAAAACTGTGACACATATATGCTGTGGAATATTACTCAGCTATAAAAAAAAACAATGAGGCCCCATCATTTTCTTCAAAGTGGATGAATACAGAAGACTTAATGTTGACTGAAGTGAGCCAAACTTTGAAAGATACACACTATAAATCCTCCCTTAATATATACCAAATATATGCACTCTATGGCAGAAATGGAACTATGTGAAGAGATGATAGTAGAGAGAATAAGTGTAGATACCAGAGACTGTAAAGGTGAGTGAATGGTTAAGTGAGTGGTAGAGGGCAGGTCTGAGGTACAAATGGCAGAGACATTTAACAGACAAAAAAAGTAATGTTTTCTGTTGGAAATATATATATATCGTATACATTATGATACCGACTTTATATAAAATGTAAAATTACTTTGAAAAAATAATTTCCCTCTGAGCATTGCATAAGCTGCATTTAAGACATAATTATCAAAGGCCATTTATTATACAATTGTTTTTTAGAGAGATTTTTGCAATAGGACGTGTGCACTTGCCAGAGCGACAGAGAGACAGAAAGCAAGAAATCACCCCCGAGGAGGGCTCGCCAAGTTGCAATCTGCCGAGGTCCGGCCTCCGCAGTGGAGGGTGGCTCATACACAGGAAGGCAACAGGGGTGATCAGGAACAAAAATTAGACTGAGACCTCATTGCTCCTTAGCATGTTCTCAGCCGGCCACAGCCAGAGCCAGCTCCAGGCTGCTGCCCGTGGCTATTAAAACATGCGTATTTATTGAGGGAGGTTTAGGAAGTAAGGAGGGTGAGGGGTAGTAAAAAATTTACTCTAAGGAACAGGGTATAGAAAGCATGGAAGCAATGATTATAAAACATGCTGTTTGTCTTGTCAGATCAGGTAAAATCACAGCTCTCAGGATGAGGAAGTCCATTTGTCTGTTGTATCTTCTTTTTAGATCTTGATTACTGGGAAGGGTCTTTTGAAGAGGGGGCTTCCAGGATGTTTAATAGCTTCAGTCCCGGGCCAGGGCGATAACATTGTTGGTTGTAAAGACCTAGATAGAAATCTTGTCTTGCTAAGTAAAGACACAGTTAATATATGGACTATCTATACATTACAATAGAGGGTGAGTCTATGATCTTATATGGGAAAGGAAGATGATCTTGTAGCTCAGGAGACAACACAGGATGTTTTATTAGCAGTTTTTCATGGTCAACAGCACATAGATGAGGAACTTTTTGTAGTTGAAAGCTACCTGTTGCTTTAGATAAGAACTCCCAGCTAAAATGGTTAATCTTTTTGTGGAGCCCTCAGCTTTGTTTATTCTTTTGTCCCATCTAGGCTTTTTCCTCTAATACATCTGTGG